TTGGGCCCCCCCCCCCCCCCCCCCCCCCAAGATTCTTTGATGAATAGAAAGTTCAAAGTTCATAGAAATGTCGTAACTTTTGATCAATTTTATGTTTTCTTGCTGAAATTATTCATTTCTTTCAAAAAGAAAAAAAATACTGAAAAATACTCACACTTAAAAGATGACTTTGGTACATAGTTAAATAAAGGTAAAACTGAGAAAAAATAATTTGGGCACTATTGTGCTTTGTGTATTATTTTATGCCACAAATGATCAAAATAAATTGAAACCCAAGTGGGATAGACTAAAACACATTTTCAAAAATCCAGTTATAATCTGGTTGCAAACCACATAAAAATGTGATCTGGATAAGGCTAGGTAAAATTTCATGTGTTTTTGTTTTGCTGTTCAGACTACAATAAAAAATGCATTTGAGTGGAATTTTCTGTGGTATACAACAAGAAATTTGCTGCCTGTCTGAACAAAGTCTTTAAGATACTCAATGCATGATTCAATTATTCTGTGCTATCCCACAAAAAAAAAAAAAACTTATGTATTTCATTTGCTCAACCAGATATTATGACAAATTCACCTTATTTTTCTGTGAGACATGGTGGCATGACGATCAATTTTCTACACTGTGTGCCACTAAAGTTATTAGCACTTTCTTTGTAGCAGGGGTCACAGCCCTTCAAACAAAGTGGAAAATTACTTAATCTTCACGGAAAAGCAAGAAAGCACTAAGAAGAGCACTACTTTCAAAACTTTTAATTAAACAGCCAGGTCTACAGGGAACAAATCACATTCAGAGAGGATTAGTGCTTTCTCGGGTTTCAGGTATCACGGTCAGGAAAACTATTTGAAACGCTCTGAAACAGTTTGGACGTAATCTGCACATTTACATTCGCTTCACAAAAGAAGGGATTACCAAGGCAACTGGGAATTCCTGCAAGTGCACGTTGAATTGAAAAGAGGACCCAAGAGATGGTACAGTAGGTGAGACATCAAATTGTTTCGGGTATACAGGAAAATCTGAAGTAAATTTGACAGTGATTGCCATCTTACCTGCATGCCCCCACTGGACTTTTTATGATTCAAAAGCAGCTCCACAGCCCCCACCACTTCCTTTCGTATGGCGTGTAAAAGCGCATCCCCCACGTACACGTTAAAGCTGAGCAGCAACTCAATAATTTCTAGGTTCTCATTCTCAATGGCAATCAACAGAGCTGTCCGTCCCAAAGGGTCGATGCAGTTGATGTTGATTTTGAAGTAGATCTCGGCTTCTATCAACGCTTGTTTGACGCTGGCATAGTCGCCTTTCTCCACAGCACACAGGTAGGCCTTTTCCAGCTGTGACAGTTCAGACTCGGCTCGAACTATCCGCAGAGGGATCCGGTCCCTGTAGGAGAAGATTTCTGTTCTGCGAAAGTAGAGCTGTGACATTGCTGCTATGCCTTCATGTGAGACAACTGGGCAAGAAGAGAGATGGAAATAGAGAGACCAAGTACAGACAATGAAAGGATGCTGGTAAATGAGGGTAGGAATCATGCATTACAGAGGAAATGGCTCTAAGCATTGCAAACCATCATCTCCACACCCAACATCCCATTAGCATGACACTTAGCCCTCATTTGCTTGGTTTTCTGTCGACTTCGAGGTTATGAGGAGGTTATTAGATTTGGGCGTTATGTTGAAGGCCACAATGAAAACCTCAGATAATTCTAATGGGACAAGATCTTAATGGAGTTAAGAACACACTTGATGTAGGTTAAGTCATAAATGTATACCATGGACTGGGTTTTTGTTATTTGTCTAAGGGCAAAGCAACTCAGTACATTCAAAAGTCATCATTAACATTATCAATAAAATGTCTGCAGGGAATTCAACAGTTTATGAGGCATCTCATTTCCAAATGTTAGGATCAGTTTTGCTTTCCCTCACCACACAAATGAACTCTGAAAATGCTCTCTTGTAAGCTGTCATTTGGATTGATGTAAATCACTAAGACTGCTGTGGGGATATTGTATTTTTGTAGACCAAAACCCAGAAATGAGTTAACAATTTATCACTACTGGTTACATCCACCGGTTCGAATATTGTCTTTCTTGCCTGGCTCTAAGCATTGCAAACCATCATCTCCACACCCAACATCCCATTAGCATGACACTTAGCCCTCATTTGCTTGGTTTTCTGTCGACTTCGAGGTTATGAGGAGGTTATTAGATTTGGGCGTTATGTTGAAGGCCACAATGAAAACCTCAGATAATTCTAATGGGACAAGATCTTAATGGAGTTAAGAACACACTTGATGTAGGTTAAGTCATAAATGTATACCATGGACTGGGTTTTTGTTATTTGTCTAAGGGCAAAGCAACTCAGTACATTCAAAAGTCATCATTAACATTATCAATAAAATGTCTGCAGGGAATTCAACAGTTTATGAGGCATCTCATTTCCAAATGTTAGGATCAGTTTTGCTTTCCCTCACCACACAAATGAACTCTGAAAATGCTCTCTTGTAAGCTGTCATTGGATTGATGTAAATCACTAAGACTGCTGTGGGGATATTGTATTTTTGTAGACCAAAACCCAGAAATGAGTTAACAATTTATCACTACTGGTTACATCCACCGGTTCGAATATTGTCTTTCTTGCAGTGTGTAATGTAGCTGTATGTGCATGCAAATGATCTGCAAAGTTGTAAAGCCGAAAGTGCGTGATGAATAAAGTTGTTGTCTCCCAAAAGAAAGAACTGTCGTTAATAATTCGAATTCCCACTCCCGTTGATGGCTACACGTCATGGGGTAACATGCATAACATAATAACAGTTCATTGCGGGATTCACAAAATGCTTGTTCTTGAAACAGTTCGACAAATAATTGATGTTTATATTTTCTATCGAGCATTCAAAATATGTAACTATGGCAACGGGTGTATCGTTTCTGACATACGCTGTATGCGGTAGACCAGTCACAAAAGACTGGGCCATCTGATCAATCAGAGCAGAGTAGGCTCACAGAAAGGAGGGGTTTAGAGAGACTGAATCTTAGAACCGCTTCGAACAAATCGTTGGAAAATGAGGTGATATTAAATGCATATTTAAAAAAAACGAAAACTTTGTTTGCTCTTGCATGCATGTAAACCTATTGTAGGAGACTCCCAAAACAATATACCTTAAAAATGGCACAATAGGGGTACTTTAAACACCTTAAATAAGGTATGTGGTTAACACAATCTCAAATATATTTTTACTAGGGATGTCCCAATCAGGTTTTTTCTGCCCCAGATCCGAGTCACTGAATATCTGTTGATAATGAGTCCCAATCTAATACTTGTATTTTCCTATTGCTTGGTGCAAACTTCAAGTACATTAATTAAAGTTATAAAATTATTAAAAATCAATCCAATTTATACAGGGATGTGCAGAGAGTTTCGTCATCACCATGGTATGGTTTGTTTATATCCTATGTTTTTTTACTTCTGGCAGTTGTATTTAGGCTTCACAATTCATAAAAGTTGTGTTCATTTATGAAGACTATCATGACCATCAAAACATGCAAGAATCATAAACTTTTGTCGATCACAGAGCTTATTTTTGCAATAATCCAAAAGCCAATGGAAAAATCCTATTGGGTCTTAGTTGAGGAAACCAGGGTGATGCTAACTTCTGGGTTGGCCTACAAAAATATGTCATCACTGCAGTGCTCTGTAGGCGAAATGGGTACATTTTGTGTAGTCACTGATATCTGCATATGTGTCCTCTAGATATGTTATAGATATTTGTCATTTGTCATAATAGGTTCATAGCATCAGGGGACTGAAAATCAATATCTAACCATCCACAATTGAGTCTGCTTGTAGATGATGCTGATGTTTTATGGACAGTGCTTTCTGGTGTGTGCGTTACAGGAACATGCTGTTACAACATTTTGTTCTTCAACAGACTTAACAGTTACTATTCTAAAACCTCATTGTGTTTTACAGGTCCAAATATATATAAAGTTTAACAAACACTTACACTTGTGACTGGCACTGACAAATATAGTCTAGTGATAAAACATTATGGTCCTCAGTCTCAGTGTTCTCGTACAAACTTGTAGACTCATGAGGATCTTCCAGGCTTCTATTGTTACACTCACTGTGTCAAATTAACCCTTTAACTGTCACTCACATTTTTGAACACAGACATGAAAGTGCACGATCCAAACTTAAATTTGTATAATTCATGAACGAAAACATTTTGTAATATAATATTGATGTACCATTTTGATGGTGATTTTAAAATGGGTTTCAAAGGATGAATTTTGAGATTTAAAGTTTTCAATTGATATATCATTTCTGATGATTTCTAAAGTGTGATAGAGAAAAAGGCAACAACGAAGACTTTTTTTGACAAAGGTCAGAACTCCTGTTATGATGTAGATTTTTGAAGTGCACTCTTGTCATAAATGAATCTATTAATTTTCCTACATAGATATTTTACCAATGTTTTTGTAAAAAAATATTTAGGAGTCTTAGACCTTTCAAACAATATATAGTTCCCCTTCAGGAACTCGAGCTGCGTCGAGATTCGCTTTGGGAACGCCCCCTGCGTGACAACGTTCTGAAGCACGTGTCTATTCGTGATGTGCTCATAAGATACACACACAGGCAGGGACTTGGTAGTATGGCGCAGTTGGTATTCTCGTTCCCAAAGCGAATCTCGACGCAGCTCGAGTTCCTGAAGGGGAACGTCTCTAGGTTACGTATGTAACCATGGTTCCCCGAGGGAACGAGACGCTGCGTCTCTTGGCCATACTCCCTGCATCCCTGCAGGCGCTACTTCATCGAAGCTGGGTGGCGCCTGGCCGGATGCGCCTTTTATGCTTTCTGGTGCTGACGTCACCCGCTGCTGACGTCTCGCAGCTCCATTGGACGGATTAGACACGTGCTTCAGAACGTGGTCACGCAGGGGGCGTTCCCAAAGCGAATCTCGACGCAGCGTCTCGTTCCCTCGGGGAACCATGGTTACATACGTAACCTAGAGACGTTTGTCATGATTAGATTAGGATTTAATTGTAATATAGTGAAGTAAACTTGTGCGTCCCACAGAGGGGACGGGTGACAGTTAAAGGTTTAAACAAAATTGTAAAGCGTAAGCTTAATGTTTTGCTATTTTTACTTTTTTTTTAAACCAAGTTACCAAAATTCCTTAAACAACTTTGGAATCAAAATATTACTTATACAGCCTTGCACTAAAGAAGTCAAAGCCTTTGAACATATGAGAACATGTAGGCCTAATAATTATTACTAAAAATCTATATAGATTTAAGCTCTTTTGTCTAATGTTGTGTATGTTGCATTTTGTAAGTCACCATATTAATATGATTATTGTTGCTTCTAGTGAACTTGGACCTTTGTTGAAGTTATTTCTTTATAAAACTGTTTATATTCTACAAAGGTGCTGTTTTATGTGCACTAAGGTATTTTTGTGTGGTGAGAATCAATTCTATATTCAATTACTGAGAGGCCACTCACTCATAATTGCTCATACACTATTTGCAATAATTTATTATATTTTAAAAAATAATTTAAGCTAATTTATTTTACTTAATTAAGCAAAAACATAAGATCTGAGTTCAATAAATTGGTTCTGTTCACACTTTCAGAAGACTACCTTAGATGAACTTGATGAAAGAAATGTGATCAACCAAATAAGTGTTTATTTCGAGTTTTAAAGGCGTTTTAGACACATCTGCACCCCGTAGATTTGAATTCTGGCATTATTTGGCCTATTTATGAACATTTGACCCAGTGAAGTGGTTTTACTATAATTTACGAGGGCATTTTTATAATGTGTGCAGAAGTGGTTGATGAACACAGACAGATCAGTGCGCAGTGCGCTCTTCAGTCTCCACTCATGACTGCCGCAGGCTGTGTCTCAAAATATAGTGAGCTGCCTTTCTTATTTCTGGCCATAGATGTTTTTGTCGCGTTTCGAGTTTGCAAAATGTCAACAAAAAAAATAATACTCCACGCGCATCCGTTGCCCAAACATGATGCACATTATATAAAGGTAGGCAACGTGTGTGGAAAGCAGGCTACATTTCATGCGGTGTTGTAGGCTCGTTTAAAGCAGTCTTTAGAAAGACTTACTTGAGATTGAATGTATCATTGAATTTCAAATTCCACAGTAATTCTCTGGAAAAGCGCTTTTATCAAATGGAACTCGTTGTCACTTTACACACAAAATGCAAATTCTGTTGTCATTAGCCTGCTCACCCTTGTGTTGTTCTAAACCTGTATGACTTACTTTTTTCTGTGTTACACGAAACTACATGTAATAATAGCCTCAGTATCCATTGTATGGGGGGGAAAAAGATGCAACAAAGTAAATGGTGACTGTGGCTGTCATTCTGCCGAACACCTCCATTTGTGTTTAACGGAAGAAAGTCACACAGATTTAGAACAACCTGTGGGTGAGCAAAGAACAGAATATGCGTTTTTCGGTGAACTGCCCTTTTATGAAATAACGGAATCTCACCTCACCTGTTGGTTTTGGATGTTGCACCGACTCGTGACTGATTCCGTCTAACTAACGTACAACAGGTGCTCAGCGCGAAGAAAACCCGTTACACTCCAACCGCCTCCACAGAGAAAAAAGCGCGAAAATGCGCAACGATAGAAATAGAACGGGGGAAGATAATATCCATTTGTACGCGCAGCGAGGCTCAGCGATCCTCTCATTTCGCATTCAAGATGGAGCTAATCTGCATAGTTTCCCAAAACCAAACATATTTGTTGTCTGTCTCCAGAAAGTGCATGTGCGAGATCTTTGATCGTTTATCATCTTGCATAGTCGCTTCCCCAAGTAGGGTTCATGGCACGTTGGTGTGAGGCGTTCTCATCTTTCGTTTAGAGTTATTTTGGTCATTTAAGAGACTTGGAGCGCAAAGGCTACCAGATGTCCTGTCTGCATAGTCTCTCTCTCTCTCTCTCTCTCTCTCTCTCTCTCTCTCTCTCTCTCTCTCTCCTGAGAGCGTGCTTGTACATGTACGGTTCCCACGTTCAGTATCACGGACAGTCTTTAAAGTTGCACTCAGATTTTAAATGCTAGTTAAAAAGGTTTGCACATTGTGAATTGAAAAGCACTTTTGAAAAATATTATTTAACAAGGAAAAAAATAGACATATAATAGCCTATACCTAGAAAAAGCTGGCTCCTTCATGGGCACTGCCATGTTTGTAATCACAGGACCAATAATAATAATAATAATTACTTTATATTGTGCTTTCAGTCAGTCTTCAGGCACTTAAAGTGTAGAAGTCAACGATAAGGAAATTAATTGTTTTAAATCCTACCAGTGACTTTAGGCTTGAAAAATAGACTGAATAAATTCTCAATAATTATCTCAAAATTGATTGTAATATATCTCAGGCACTGGTTAATATAGAAATGTCATTTTACATTGAGATGAAAATGTTTCAGAGAAAATCGAGACACTGTCCTTCTGAAACCTGCAGATTTATCATCAGGAATTTATCATATTGCCAAGCTGTCTGTTAGAACAGATGAACGTTTTGGACAGTCTAGTCTGTAATCCGGAGAGCACCTGTGCCATTTATTCACATATACACTTCGCCATCAAAACAGTACAAATGAAATGTGTCCAGACACTGAGATGATTTTTGTCTCTCCTGTTCAAACCTGTGAAACTGAGTCATTGATCTGGGTTTGAAGCATTAGGTGTGAAGAAGCCAACTCTAAAACTTCACATCCTTCCTGCAATTTGTCAGATTAACAGGTTCAGACATTACAGAGCAAGACAAATCAAACTGCAGCAGCAGCCAAAGACATTTCTCTGTGAGAATTTCATGTCATCTCAGAGATCTGAAGGACATACAAATCAAAGATGTGGAGCCATAAAGCGAATTTCACATAATTCCTCAGCTATTGCAAAATGTTCACCACCTGTCATATTCAAACTCCTCTGAGAATATGCAGGTCTTCAGCCCAAACTGAAAATCTGCTTCTGTTTATCCTTTTTCCTATTCCTTTTTTTCTCTCTTTCTCTTTCACAGTTGTTTGCATAATATCAGTCATCTGATTCTCAATGATGTAGAAGATGTTTGCAAGCATCCTTCATGGTGAAGGCAATCCTAGAATGTTCCTGCCATAGGATGAAAAAAAGGTAATTCCAATTTTTTATCTCACAATTGAGAATTTTTTCTCGCAATTCTGAATTGAGATTTAAAAAAAAAACTGAATTCCAAGATGCAAAATTGTGAGATATAAGCTCGCAATTGCAAGACGAAGTAATTGTGAAATGAAAAGTCACAATTACCTTTTTTATTTTTAATGGTGGGGGAAAAAAAATCTGAATTGCAAGATGTAAACTTGGAATTGCGAGGAAAAAAATGTCAGAATTCAGTTTTCACAATTTAGCACTTCTGACTTTTTCTCCCCTCATAATTGCAAGTTTATGTCTATAAAAAAGTCAGAATCAGAAAAAGTCATTAAGCTTTTTTTTTATCCCGTGGTGGAAATGAGCTTCCATACATTTAATGTATTGATAAAAAATAAATTAATAATAACGAAATAATTAAAACATTTTATTAAAAATTTATTAAAATTTATTAAAAATTTATTTTATTTTCATTAAATATTATATGCTTGTTAGAGTATTGCACAATTAGCTTAGCAACATACTAACAACAAGCTACTGAAATCAACTGGCTAAGCAGCAAACAAATTATAAATAATTCAACTTAAAAAAAAAACATGTTCAACAAAGTTAAACAAATTCAAATGTGTAAGCTTTTATCCCAGATCCCAATTAAAGCCAATTAATCCATTCAAAAAGAACAAACCTTGCTTTTTTCAGTTCAGAAATAGTAAGCTTTTCCTTCAAGTGTTGCTGGAGACGCTATCCTATTTCAACCTTTCCCCTGGCTATAATTGTTTAGAATAACACAGGGTGAATAAATCATTTAATGTCTGTACTGTGCTACACCCTGTAGATTCCTTGCATGGGAAATAAATATGGCAGTGAGAGGTAGGATGCTGGGGAAACAAACAAACAGCTGAATTAGCTTTTAGATGTTCATGTTTCTATATGAGCCCCTGTGTGAAAGCTGGGCATACTGCTACCTCCGGGCAATAACAGAAATATATTGGTATTCACACATCTCATTATAAATACTCACAACCTACATGAAGAAAAAGAACAGGGGAATCAAAATGAGAACAGAAAACAAATCAAATATCACCTTCCAATCTTTCTAAACAAATACCAAGATTTTCAGTGTATTCTGACCTTAGGTTCTCCATTTAGATCATTAAAGCATGTGAGCAGATAATGACACAGTGAATTATAATAAAATGTGGTAATCTTGCAGAATGTCAGTATCGATTTACTGGACCAGACACAATAAATTAAATGTCTCCTGTTCTTTGTTAGTGCAGGTAGGAGAATTTGTGTATAGCCTACTTGTGGAGAAATGGAAAGAAAAGCTTTATCAGGCCTCTATATTCACAGCAGCTGTTTAAAACCATATTAGTGTTTGCCACAAAGAGACCTGCTAATTAAAATTGATTGGATGTTACCCTTAGAGAGGCCATGGCCATGACACTGCTTGTTCCAGTGATCAACATTCTTGGACCCTACTAGTATTTGTACAGACAGCAAGACAGCAAATCTCCTTTTAATAGTGCAATTAGAAAAATAGACAATATTGTTGTAGTGCATGCACATTGTTACTCACCATTTTCTTTTATGCAATGCTTCTTGTTTCAAAATCATGTCAGTGTCTTTTTTAAAGGTGCACACAAAGTATAAAATTACAATTATAAAATAAACACTAATTCATATTACAAATACACTGCTTCGAATTGGGTACCAGCCAAAAAAGATAATTAGAAAGCAAACAAATTACACAATTATTAACTGTTTTTATAAATATGTATTGTAAAATTTATTTCAACATACCACTACATTTAAATAAGAGTATTTATGATAGATAGATAGATAGATAGATAGATAGATAGATAGATAGATAGATAGATAAGCTTTGCTCATTTTTTATCCTTGCCCGCACTAAATGTGCTTACGGAAAAATTTATTAAAATTTATTAAAAATTTATTTTATTTTCATTAAATATTATATGCTTGTTAGAGTATTGCACAATTAGCTTAGCAACATACTAACAACAAGCTACTGAAATCAACTGGCTAAGCAGCAAACAAATTATAAATAATTCAACTTAAAAAAAAAACATGTTCAACAAAGTTAAACAAATTCAAATGTGTAAGCTTTTATCCCAGATCCCAATTAAAGCCAATTAATCCATTCAAAAAGAACAAACCTTGCTTTTTTCAGTTCAGAAATAGTAAGCTTTTCCTTCAAGTGTTGCTGGAGACGCTATCCTATTTCAACCTTTCCCCTGGCTATAATTGTTTAGAATAACACAGGGTGAATAAATCATTTAATGTCTGTACTGTGCTACACCCTGTAGATTCCTTGCATGGGAAATAAATATGGCAGTGAGAGGTAGGATGCTGGGGAAACAAACAAACAGCTGAATTAGCTTTTAGATGTTCATGTTTCTATATGAGCCCCTGTGTGAAAGCTGGGCATACTGCTACCTCCGGGCAATAACAGAAATATATTGGTATTCACACATCTCATTATAAATACTCACAACCTACATGAAGAAAAAGAACAGGGGAATCAAAATGAGAACAGAAAACAAATCAAATATCACCTTCCAATCTTTCTAAACAAATACCAAGATTTTCAGTGTATTCTGACCTTAGGTTCTCCATTTAGATCATTAAAGCATGTGAGCAGATAATGACACAGTGAATTATAATAAAATGTGGTAATCTTGCAGAATGTCAGTATCGATTTACTGGACCAGACACAATAAATTAAATGTCTCCTGTTCTTTGTTAGTGCAGGTAGGAGAATTTGTGTATAGCCTACTTGTGGAGAAATGGAAAGAAAAGCTTTATCAGGCCTCTATATTCACAGCAGCTGTTTAAAACCATATTAGTGTTTGCCACAAAGAGACCTGCTAATTAAAATTGATTGGATGTTACCCTTAGAGAGGCCATGGCCATGACACTGCTTGTTCCAGTGATCAACATTCTTGGACCCTACTAGTATTTGTACAGACAGCAAGACAGCAAATCTCCTTTTAATAGTGCAATTAGAAAAATAGACAATATTGTTGTAGTGCATGCACATTGTTACTCACCATTTTCTTTTATGCAATGCTTCTTGTTTCAAAATCATGTCAGTGTCTTTTTTAAAGGTGCACACAAAGTATAAAATTACAATTATAAAATAAACACTAATTCATATTACAAATACACTGCTTCGAATTGGGTACCAGCCAAAAAAGATAATTAGAAAGCAAACAAATTACACAATTATTAACTGTTTTTATAAATATGTATTGTAAAATTTATTTCAACATACCACTACATTTAAATAAGAGTATTTATGATAGATAGATAGATAGATAGATAGATAGATAGATAGATAGATAGATAAGCTTTGCTCATTTTTTATCCTTGCCCGCACTAAATGTGCTTACGGAGCAAACAAATGCAAATGTTCCCTGTGATTTCATTATCCAAAGAATTACATTTCATATTGGCAGCATCTCACCAAGCTTAATTCATAAAGTTTCCTGCCATTTCCAGGCTTTCATCGCTAGCGTATGGTTAATAAATGCAGCGTGTCTCCGTATGGCAGTGGAATATGTTCTCTCTGTGGTAGCTTGAATTTGTCTGGTTCTTTCAGTTTGAATGGATGGTAAACC